AACAACAGCAACAACAACAACTGCCAAGTCACCGGAGACAACAACATTAACTACCACCAAGCCACCAGAGATGACAACTACTTCTACCAAGTCACCAGAAACAACAACAGCAACAACAACAACAACAACAAGAACTGCCAAGTCACCAGAGACAAAAACATTAACTACCACCAAGCCACCAGCGACATCAACAACAACTACAACAGTGTCACCAGAGATAACAACAACAACTACTACCCAGTCACCAGGAACAACAACAACAAGAACTGCCAAGTCATCAGAAACAACAACAACAACAACAACAGCAACAACTGCCAAGTCACCAGAAACAACAACAACTACTACCAAGTCACCAGAGATAACAACAACTACTTCTACTACCCAGTCACCAGGAACAACAACAACAACAACTGCCAAGTCACCAGAAACAACAACAACAACTACCACCAAGTCACCAGAGATAACAACAACTACTTCTACTACCCAGTCACCAGGAACAACAACAACAACAACTGCCAAATTACCAGAGACAAAAACTACTTCTGCCAAGTCACTAGGAACAACAACAACTATTACCAAGTCACCAGAAGCAACAAGACCAACAACAACTGCCAAGTCACCAGAGATAACAACAACTACTTCTACTACCCAGTCACCAGGAACAACAACAACAACAACTGCCAAGTCACCAGAGACAAAAACTACTTCTGCCAAGTCACCAGAAACAACAACAACTATTACCAAGTCACCAGAAGCAACAAGACCAACAACAACTGCCAAGTCACCAGAGACAACAACAACAACAACAACAAATACCACCAAGCCACCAGCGACATCAACAACAGCTACCACCCAGCCACCAGAAACAACAGTAATAACGTCCAAGTCACCAGAACCAAAAACATCAGTTACCAAGTCATCAGAAACCATAACAACAACAACAACTTCGAAGACGGTTGGAACAAAAACAACAACAGCCAAATCACCATATAAAACAACGACAATTTCGAAATTACCAGGAACAACATCAGCAACTACAAAGTCACCAGGAACGAAAACTGCAATTTCCAAGTCGCCAGAAATAAAAACAACAACTTTTAAGTCACCAGGAACAAATACAATTCCTAAATCACCAGAAACTACTATCACTTCCACACTACCAGAAACAATAATAACGGCAACATCAAAAACAACTTCCAAATCACCATCAACAATACCAACAAAACCACCAGGAACAGCAACAAAATCAAAAACAACAACAATCACCTCTAAATTACCCGAAATAACAACAGCTTTCAAATCACCAGTAGTGACAACTTATAAATCACCGACAAAAACAATAACAAGAAATTCCAAAACGCCAGTGACAACAACTTTTCAATCACCAGAAACAAAAACAACAACAGCAACAGCAACTTCAAAATCATCAGAAACATCGAGAGGATCGTCTAAGCCACCTGAAACAACAACGTCCACACTACCAGGACTAACAACTTTCAAATCATCTGAAATGACAACAACAACAATATCATCACCAGGAGCAACAACAGCAGAAACGACGGTAAAAGAGCCAAAAACAACAGTTTCTCCAACAATTCCTTTGTGTCCACAAAACAGAGTGTACACACCGTGTAAATCAAGTTGTGATGAGACTTGTCAGCATATGAACAACACGTGCACTCCTTCACCTTCACAAGGTTGTAATCCTGGATGTAAGTGCCCGGATGGGACCGTTTTTAATGGTACATATTGCGTAAGACCAGCTGATTGCATTTGTTATTCTAATGGGAAGTATTACGATCCAGGCGCCACTTGGAACAACACTTGTGAGAGGTGTTGGTGCTGGAATAACAGAGTTATATGCCAGGCTATACGCTGTCCTCCTCTCCTTCACTGTCCTTCAGACAACTTAATAGCTTTGATACTCCCTGGCGAATGCTGTCAGACCTGTGTAGAAAAGAACGTTACCACTTGCTCTCCATCTGACTACAGATGCAATGATGGCAGGTGCATGACGAAGCATTGGTTATGCGATGGACAGGAAGATTGCAGAGCCGGTGAAGATGAGAGAAACTGCACAAGTATATCATCATGCTTTAAGCCTTTGGGTAAGTAAATTTGGATGCTAGGAATTAATGTGATTGATAGTTTTGAATGAAATAATTAAAATATTTATTTATTGTTAGACTGCTCAGTATGCTATAGCTACAATGTGTTTCTTCAAGCTGCAATGCCAGCCAAACTTATGAGATTTTTTTTGTCATTTTAGGATTGGCTGACCGATCAACTCCAGATAACTTCTTCACAGCCTCTTCGTCAGTCGACGTTTACTATCGACCAGGAGAAGCAAGACTTAACAATTTACACGTAGTAGGACGGGGAAGTGGTGCCTGGTGCTCAGGACCTCAAGACAAGGCACCATATTTGCAAATCTATCTAGGATCTTTTCGTAAAGTAACTGCAGTGTCCACCCAGGGACATCCAGTGCTTCACAAATGGGTGACAATGTTTAGGTTGTCATACAGCTTAAATGGAGTTACCTGGATCAAGACAAAAGAGGTATAACTTAATTACTTCTTACAGTCAATGTAAATGTATTTTTGCCTATCTTAAAAGATAATCATGCAGAAACTTCTAATAAACGCTGGAAATGGTTATCGAATTGACCAATTAAAAGCCAAATACGAGATAGGGTACCCTGTACACGTTTCGGATTGCTCTCTCATACAAGAACGTAATAGGGGAAGGGGAACGCGGATAAGAGTAGGGGGAGGCACTTGTAAATAATTCGAAGCAGGAGATAGTTTGAAGACTTGTCGGTTCCACAAAATGAAAAAGATGAAATTCCCTTTTACAACTCATATCAAGACAAAGTCAAATAAAGAAGAATGTGGATATTGTCTCTCGATGTATATATGACCAAATTCTTAGAGCCGATATGATAATAAATTTTTAAATCCAGTATAAACATAAGGCGAAAGAATTAAGTGATCTTGAAACTAGAGTGCTAATACGCATTAATTGTCTTAACTTTTCTGTAGACGTTTCAAGCAAATACGAACCACTCCACCATTTTTACTAACAAGTTACCACAGCCAATCATCGCTCAGTATATCCGAGTGCATGCGGAACAGTGGTATATTGGCGCGTGCTTGAGAGTGGAGTTCTACGGCTGCACAGTCGGAGCTTCTGTCCCCATTCCTCCAACGACGCCAATTGAGTGTAGAGATTTTAGGTTGGTATATAAATTGACTATTGAGGCTCATAAGTCGAGGCTCATATGTATAAAGGTACCGGTTTCATCATTAATTCTAGAAACTCATGCTTATATGCTTTTAAACTGACAGAAAATAAGAGCAGGTATGTATAGCAATGATATCTGGACAGGTAACTCAAATCCACGACAATTCCGCATTTTTCACCTTTCGCTTTTGATAAGTAGAGATAAAGAAAACTTTGCAAAGGAGGCCAGCACTGCGATTTTGGCTCGTCCGCTTGTTGCCTTAAACATAATTAAGCTTCCCTAGCAACCTCACCGATGCGTAATAACAGTGATAATACTCGTAATCGCCCAATTTGGGACCTGATTCCTAGACTTGAATCCACAAGGATTATTAGTGTGATAAGGAGGCTGTATGACCGAGTGGTCAGGGGGCCTCATCGCCTAAAATCCATTGCTGGTTCAAGTCATCGATCAGAGCTGTTTAACAATAGATTCCAGTTCAGCTCCTTCGCCACGCTTGAGAACAGCCACCTGGCCAAATGTTCAACTTTCTTATGTTCGATTTAAAGAAGTTGTTTCTTTATTTATCGGAAGTAGACCTTCTGTTGCAAACCCAGAGTTAAATGAATATTTTCCCTCATGCCCTCAGTTGTTTCTTTCTGGCAGATGTGACAATGGGGAGTGCATAAGTAAAAGCTTGCTGTGCGATGGAGATGATGACTGTGGCGATGAATCAGACGAGATATTTTGCAACAGCACTTGCAAAGAATTCCGCTGTAACAATGGCAGCAGATGCATTTCCTTCAAGTACGTATTCCAAAGAATTATGTTTAACGAGTACAGTGAATTTTAAAGTGAGATATTATAGTCGTTAGTTTGATAAGGAAAAAAACTGCCTTGGATGATTCGATGCAAAACGGCTTATGAATGGCAGCATCCAACAGGTTCTGCAAGGTTTATTTTCAAACAGTCAAGACAGACCATCTCCATAACTGGCCTCAAACTTAGCAGTCTTGATAATTTGTGCGTTCGAGTCCACTTTATTATCATGTGTATTGGCCCTCGCCTTTTTTGTACTGACCTCACTGCGCTCGGTCCGTACTGTCAAGACCTTAGGCCAATATTCTCCAAGTACGGCCCTCGACCTTGGATAACAAGATAAATAGTTTCTTATTACTTTATGTTTACGAACCTTATTCAGTGAAAGTCTGTTTTAGAAGTGTGAAACTGATTTGCTCAAATTCTCACTACAGATCGCTTTGTGATGGCCAGCAAGATTGTTTTGATGGCGAAGATGAAGATCATTGTCCAACCTCACCCAACTTAACAGGTCCACATGCTGTCATGACCACCAAAACGTCCATGAACATCACATCCACGTTTGAAACGACAAAGATGACCTCACGCAAAAGCGAGTCGACTACGAACGTTTACACTACCGGATCGACGACTACGCGGATGACAACGAAGATGATGTCACCCAAATCGGAAACACAAACTCTCCCTACTCAGATCACGACAAAGTTGTCTTCACCGACATCAGCACCAACAACCAGAGGCACAACAGTAGCAGCAAATACTTCGAAGGGTAAGCAATTTCATTCATATCGTCAATAACATACAAAGGCCTGCTGGTCGGAGACGTACGACAGTCAGGCTCGAAGGTAGCCAGGGTAATTATGTTGCGTAGACAATACAATTTGCTCTCACATTACCTCTTTTTCACCCAGGAGTATAAACAAGTCCCAGAAATCGGCCAGTAATTGTTTGGACCAGTGCGGCTAGGGTAACTTACTATTTACTAGCATCTTATCTGACGGAAGAAGCAATACTTCAAATTATTCGTTCTCAATTTTTAAAGCCGTTATTTTGTTTCGCATTGTAATTCCTAACGATAACGGACAGTACCCACTTTTTATTGACTTTTTAAAATTTTGCACTAGTACGTAAAGCTAAACATATCGTAAGTGATAAGGACGTTGTTCACCTTTAAATCTACGGCTGCTTCTGCATTCTAGCCTGGGTTCGAACCAGGACCGCTTGATGAGGATTCCAGAGACAAACCATGAGGTCACCGCGCCTCCTACTCTCTACTTCTAAGGAGTTCATTTATTCGCTTAATTGTGTTCCAGTGTGCCGAGATGAATGCACGTGCTTCATGAATTGTGCTGGAAACATCATATGCCCATTCAGTGGACTATGCTCAAACTGCACCTGCAGCAATGGGACACTAATGCGTGCAAATCGATGTGTTGTACCCATGCCTTCGCCGTGCGTGCAGCGGTGTAATCACAAGGGACAAACATTTCAGGTAACAGCTGAAGAAAAATATAAATTATTCCGATTTTACCAGGCTTTCTTAAGCTAAGAATCGTTGGCTTTAATTTGTTTGTTTTCATGTAATTCTCTCTTATATGTTGTTTTCAGAGAAGCCGGAATCGTTATAGTATACAAAACGAAGTTTGTAATCGCCACGAAGCGTCTACAGTTGCCCCTTGGCATTCTGTTTAGGAGCCATAGTTGAAATAAAATTGTGCATATTTAATTCTCGTTCGTTTATTCTGCTGCAGTTTACGTATATGATTCATTTAATATATGCGTGATAATTATTAAAAAACGAAGGTATGCTTAATGTAAAGACAATCCCTGCAGATTGACAACTACTGGTGACTCTTGCTGTAGAAGGTTGGAGTGTAGTGTTAATTAACTACTAACCATTTAGTCCAGTATAATGGAAAGAATGACATAAATTGAGACTTTTGTTGATATTCATGATATTGTGCCTTAGGTCGGTACAACCATCCAAGACAAGCCGTGTGACATTTGTACGTGTCAGCGGAAGCCTAACACCCTCAACCAATCACAAGTGTTTTGTCACCGCACGTGCTCCCAGACTTCAACAACGTCCCCAACAACCCCAAAGATAACACGACAAACAAGAATCTCTTCCACGGAGGAGTCCACAACATCAAAGAAAACAAGCCCAACAATAAGGCTATCAGCTAAGGAATCAACAACAACGTCAAAGATAAAAGGCCCAACAACAACAACAACATCGATATCTACAAAAGAGTCGACAGCATCAAAGATAACAAGTCCGACAACGCTCTTACCAGGCAACAAAGAAACTAAACCAACAAATCCATCTCAAATAAAACTACCATCAACGACGTCCACAAAAGAATCATCTGCAACATCAAAGGCAAAACTTTCAACAACCACGGCTCCAAAACAAGAGTCTACAACAACCAACATTCAGGGAGCACGTCCAACAACACCGACATCCAAACAGGAGTCAACGTCAGCGTCAAAGAAAATGAGTGGCGCATCGACATCATCCACAAAAGAGTCAACAACAGCAAAGATAAAATCTCCGATAACTCTCCCAACAGGCTACAAGGAAACTACATCAACAAACTCAGCTCAGATAAAACAAACATCAACGACATCCACAAAAGAGTCAACAGCAACATCAAAGGCAAATCTCTCAACAGCAACGGCCCCGAAGCAAGAGTCTACAACAACAAGGATAACACACCCAACAACATCAATATCCAAACAGGAGTCAATTTTATTATCAAAGAAAATTAGCGGTCCATCAACAGCATTCACAAAAGAGTCAACAACAGCAAAGATAATAATTCCGATAACATCCACGACATCCCCAAAAGAATCAACAGCATCATCAAAAATACAAAATCCAACGACAACGAAACCCACAAAATCGAAGATAACAAGTCCGACAACGTACCCACCAGGCTATAAAGAAACTACACCGACAAACCCAGCTCAAATAAAACTATCATCAACGACATCCACAAAAGGATCAACAGCAACATCAAAGGCACAACTCTCAACAACAACGGCTCCGAAACAAGAGTCTACAACAACAACCAACACACAGGGAGCACGTCCAACAACACCGACATCCAAACAGGAGTCAACTTCAGCATCAAAAACAACGAGTCGTGCATCAAACACAGCCGCAAAAGAGTCAAAAACAACAACAAAGTCAACAAGCCCGATAACATTCCCACCAGGCAACAAAGAAACAACATTAACAAACTCAGCTCAAATGAAACTGACATCAACGACGTCTACAAAAGAATCAACAGCAAGATCTAAGATAACTAGCCCACCATCAACAAAATCCGCACAAACGTTGACAACAGCATCAAAGAAAACAAGTATAGCATCAACGACAGCCACAGAAGAGACCAGTACGGAACCAAAGATAACAAGCCCTACAACAGCGACAGCCGCAAAAGAGTTAACAGCACCAAAGACGACAAGCTCTACGGCAGTTACATCCACAAAAGGGTCCGCGTCAGTTTCAAAGATAACGCTCACACAAGGATACAGTTCGACGACACCAACAAACCCAGCTCAACTGCAACAAACATCCACGACGTCTGCACAGGGGTCGACAGCAACATCAAATACATCACTCCCGCCATGGACAAAATCCTCACAAAAGTCCACGACAACGTTAAATAAAGCAAGCCTAGCATCATCGACATCCAGAAAAGAATCAACAACAACATCAAAGATAACAAGCCCGACAACAACTACGTTTACCCGAAAGGTCACAACTTCCACAGCAGGTTAGAGAAACCTTTGAGTTACACCGGATATAAGTTAGAGACGTTCTAGGCGGAGAAAAAGCTCCACTTTACGAGGGAAAGTTTCAATCGCCTCCAAACACCGCATTTGTCGCTATTTATAGATAACAAGCCTAAATATTCGGGATAATATTAAAAGCCATCAACCTTTACCCTGAGTTCGCAAACTTATTTTTTGACTTTTTGACACGAGAGGTACTTTTCCTGATGTTTCATATAACTTGCAGATAGGTTACCGCTTTGTTTCTGCATCCATTCTTGAAATCACAAACACTTCAAGAATTGCCGGATATCCAGAGAGGTATTCTTTAAAAGCATTCTGCAATTGATAAGATATCTTAAACCTTCTCCAGGTCCTTCTGGCTGTGTATGGAGCAACTGCTCCTGTACCAAGACATGCGCCGACCTCGCCGAACCTAAAATAGAAAGGTGCACTGAGGAAACCTGTAAGCCCGGCTGGGCATGCCAACCAGGTTTGGTCTTACTCAATAACAAAGCAGTATCACCTGTTCTGGAGTGTCCGTGTTACCACAATGAAACGTTTTACAAGGTGAGATTGGTGGGGCAATAACCCTGGTGGCTTATTATGTAGGTATAATGGAGCAAACATTCAAGTTATCTTTTCAGTTTAATCCTTCTTAAGCATTCCTAGACAAAGACTTCACCTCAACTCTGGGTCTGTAGGACAGTATTACACCATTATTGGTCGTCTTTAGAGCAGCCGACCACAAGCATCCTTTAATTGCTCTGACCTTGAGCAAACCGGAAAAAAACATTGGCTTATCTGTAGTATGCCTTTAATATCTTTCGCAAGGCGCTGAACGTACAGATACAGCGTCTGTGATCGTCCAGGTTTCTTCTTTCCGTGTGGTGGAACTAACAAGTCAATCCATTTTTTTTAGTAGGACTATCATTGAATCTGAAATGCTCCACTTAACACCTTGAGTGACATTAGAAATCAAGAGCCCTGGCCAGCTCTTTCTAAAAGTTTTCAATAACAAGGTGTAATTACCCAAGAGAGTGAGTTCTTGCAGTTCACTTGTTGTGAGAAATCATTCTTCTTATTACGTTGAGCTGTGCGAGCAGGCAAGATATCCCACATCCTGTGCTATAATTGGTTACCTGATTTAGCAAGATATGGCTTTCTTACCAGTTCAGGAACACCCTCTGTTTCCAGCAAGAAAATGGTGTTCTTTATGCCTTATAGTAAACTGATAGTCCTTTATTGGTCAAGCGTGTTCAGTCAAAATAGTTCTTTTTGGCATGTTTATGGACCTCGACTGAAAACGATTTTGGGTAGTATCTTGTTACCTTAACTTCACGCTTGGTCAATAATCCATATATCGTGTACTGTTATTACCTTCCAGATCGGCCAAAAGTTTGAAAATGGAACATGCAGCTCGTGTATGTGCCTCGGCGATTCTGTTATCTGCACGCAGACCTGTAATATCAAGGCATGTCAGGAGGTAAGTGCATCTTGATTGAAAACATAGGGGAAATTTTCCGCATAAAGGAAATTACAATGAATTAATTATTTAATATAAATCAAAATAAATTGTAGAGAAAAGGTGGCGAAGAGACCAAAAAGGAACTAAAAAGCTTAATTGTGATTTTGGCGTTCCATTAAAATAAACTAAGATGAATACAAATTAGTTAAAATAGCTTTCATAAGTAATAAACTAGAAAATTATTATTGGTAATTATTAATTTTCCATAGTTTCTTAACTGCGTTCTTTAATTAGTGTTTTTTTTTTACTGCAATCCTTTTCATATTTCAGGGTGAGGAGCTTCTTGACAAACCTGGAAAATGTTGCTTTTGCCGCAAGAAATCAAGTACGCACCAATTTGAATTTCTTTGGATTTATGTAATATGACTGTTCTGAGTTGTTGCTTTAATTAGTCCAGTATCGAGTTATATCCAACAGCTCTTTATCTAGGACGCAATAATTATGAATTGCATCTTTCTTTTTCTTCCTTTTATATTTAACAGCTGTGATGATTTCTACGACCACTCCTGCCATTTCCAAGGGAGGAGTGGCACCAAAGAACTTGACGACAGTTTACGCAAAGACAAATGTTCAGACAACGTCTTCCATCTTAACGTTCTGGAAAACAGTGACGCCAAAAACAACAGCGTCCACCGCGAGGCGAACAGGATCAGCCCCTGAGACAAGCACGGCATATATAAACAAAAGTTCCCAACCCACTGTCACGTCAAGGCCAAACATGTCTAAACCTACATCAATAGCGTCACCAGAACCAGCGACCGAAGTCCAGATCGAGCGATGCAATGTTCACACAGAAAATACCAGCATCGTTGACGAGTTTGGCTGCTCTAACATTCTTCCAATTACTCAGACGTCTTGCCAGGGTTCTTGCGGCTCAAGCGCAGTTGCAAATGTAACTTCACCATGGATCCAGGTCGATTGTTTCTGTTGCAAGCCCAAGAATCTTAGGGCCATGAGCGTTCCCATGAGATGCTCGGATGGTGGCGTGAAAGGGCTCAATTACCTTATTATAACCGAATGTGGCTGTGAGGCTTGTGAAAGCCATGGTTACAAGACAAAACTAAGACTTCTAGTGGGGACCATGTTTGAGAATGTCACTAAGGAAGCAGATGACGAAATTGTGCGTTAGCCATGCAGCAGACTCGAAGCTAGTAGTAGCTTCAAGGCAGCTTCGAGAAAAATATATCAATTTGCTTTTAAATAATCATCATTTTGTTCGTAATTGAGTTTGGTATGCAAGATTCAGAATTCTCTTGTAAAATAGTTTAATTTAAATTAGACATGACTAACGTGCAATTTGATCTATTTAGTTGTGACAAAATTGCTACGAATACTGGAAAAAGCTTTGCCTCTAAATTGTGCACATTTCTGATAAATCCACAGTGGTAAGTTATATAATCGCCAATTCCGATTCTAGGTTCAGTAGTGTATCTTATGAATATTCAGTGTAACTGAAAAGATTCCGGCATAGTACACGGATTGTTAGATCACCCAAATATATATTTTTTTAGTTTGGACTAATCTTTGGAACTTTTTCAAAGCCATGATGGCCGGATTTACCAGCTTTAGTGTTGTAAAGCGCCCAACTGGTTTCTGGGAGGTCATGGTTCGAGTGCCTTCTAGGAATCAAGATTTGTCTTTGTTCCACGCTCGTGACATAAAAAAAAATTAATTAAACTTATGATTAGTTACGTATTTACAAAGGGTAACTTAGTATCATTAGACCTTAAGACGCCACATTAAAATTCGATTTTCATCAGTTATCATGGTGATTGAATAAAATAAAGAAATTTTACAAACAAGTTTCCTTTTTAATATAATTTATACCATGCCGTTCAGTAAGATTATCAAATTTAAATACCAAGACAAAATACAGTTGTGACAGGAGACTGCGCTGAGTGGCGGCTTATCGGGTAATATTAAAATTGTTCGGGCGCAACCTGTTCGAAGTTCAGAGCGTGATTTTTGTCGACTTGTAAAGATTTCTGTGAGTGATTACCGTTTTATTTTAAACTTTAAATTTTCTTGTTTGTGCTGCTGTTTGGGGGTGTCTAACGGCTTTTACAGCAAAACAAGGAGAGATAAGTATGGAAAATTAAAATAAAAAATTGTCTTTTCGATTATGACAAGTCAGAGTTTTCATTGACAGGTGATCACACGTGGATTTTTAATGTGATGTGTGTAGATTTTTTTGCAGTATTCAACAAAGGAAAATCGTTGGTATGCACGCTACATTCAAGAAGTTCGAGATTAAAGCTGGGGCCTTTTAAGACTTAGATAAGTAATTACAACTTATAACATTCTGTCTGGGAAAGTTTGACTTAAATACGACAATTTGATTCCAAGGTGAGTTACTTTCACATTCTCAGTTTTCATATCTTTAATTATGCCCATTTACTACTTGTAAAGACTATAACATCTACTCAAATGCAACAAGCTCAGGTTAGATATTATCTGTCTAATGATATACGTGAAAATATTACTTGATTCTGATTGGCTGAGAGCAGTGCCGTTCAAGTGTAACACCAGTGCAAAAATTGTAACACCAGTGCAAATTACACATCATAATTCTGAATTATGATTGGCTGAAAGACAACAGGAAATTTTCTAACCCGATGATATCACGTAAAATGATNACACCAGTGCAAATTACACATCATAATTCTGAATTATGATTGGCTGAAAGACAACAGGAAATTTTCTAACCCGATGATATCACGTAAAATGATGACGAAAATTTTGTGCGGAAACTTTGATAAAAGTTTTCTCGAATGAGAAAAAATGGGTTGAAGAAAGATCTTCCGGCACTTCCTCCACGCGAATTATTTCATGTTTATATTATTAATAAGTAACCATACGGTTTTTCTCGTTCAATTTGGAATTAATTAGTACTTGTGAGTCAAAAAGCTCACTCGTGCAAATTAATTCCAAATGGAACACGAAACCATATAATGACTTATACAAATTACAACTCTTTCGAGACAGCAGTTCCTCAGAATGGGCGTCACAATTCACAAATGGCTAACTGCTAAGACGGTCATTAAATGGCGTTTGAATAGCTATGCAAGTATTACCCAGCGGGTATTTGTAGACTTAAAAACTCACGTCAGACTCACAGGCGACTAGAAAAGTAGAGCAGGCTGTTATTTTGTAACGACGGTCATTCTTGACGGTCATTCGTTTAAATTGATCTCTGAAAGCATTACCCAGCGGCTATTTGAAGACTCTTAGATGCTAGAAGCTTTTAGAATTCACGGCAGACTTATCGGCGACTAGAAAAGTAGAGCAAAGTTTCATGTCGTTATCCATTTTTAAAAAGGTGACTGTCCATGAAAGCCCTATAGCTAAACAGCAAGTGAAAACGAGAGAAATCACGACAAAGGTACGGGAGACTTGATCAGTGTAGAACTAAAAAACACTTAGNAAATCCGCACAAACGTTGACAACAGCATCAAAGAAAACAAGTATAGCATCAACGACAGCCACAGAAGAGACCAGTACGGAACCAAAGATAACAAGCCCTACAACAGCGACAGCCGCAAAAGAGTTAACAGCACCAAAGACGACAAGCTCTACGGCAGTTACATCCACAAAAGGGTCCGCGTCAGTTTCAAAGATAACGCTCACACAAGGATACAGTTCGACGACACCAACAAACCCAGCTCAACTGCAACAAACATCCACGACGTCTGCACAGGGGTCGACAGCAACATCAAATACATCACTCCCGCCATGGACAAAATCCTCACAAAAGTCCACGACAACGTTAAATAAAGCAAGCCTAGCATCATCGACATCCAGAAAAGAATCAACAACAACATCAAAGATAACGAGCCCGACAACAACTACGTTTACCCGGACATCACTCCCGCCATGGACAAAATCCTCACAAAAGTCCACGACAACATTAAAGAAAGCAAGCCTAGTATCATCGACATCCAGGAGAGAATCAACAACAACATCAAAGATAACAAGCCCGACAACAACTACGTTTACCCGAAAGGTCACAACTTCCACAGCAGGTTAGAGAAACCTTTGAGTTACACCGGATATAAGTTAGAGACGTTCTAGGCGGAGAAAAAGCTCCACTTTACGAGGGAAAGTTTCAATCGCCTCCAAACACCGCATTTGTCGCTATTTATAGATAACAAGCCTAAATATTCGGGATAATATTAAAAGCCATCAACCTTTACCCTGAGTTCGCAAACTTATTTTTTGACTTTTTGACACGAGAGGTACTTTTCCTGATGTTTCATATAACTTGCAGATAGGTTACCGCTTTGTTTCTGCATCCATTCTTGAAATCACAAACACTTCAAGAATTGCCGGATATCCAGAGAGGTATTCTTTAAAAGCATTCTGCAATTGATAAGATATCTTAAACCTTCTCCAGGTCCTTCTGGCTGTGTATGGAGCAACTGCTCCTGTACCAAGACATGCGCCGACCTCGCCGAACCTAAAATAGAAAGGTGCACTGAGGAAACCTGTAAGCCCGGCTGGGCATGCCAACCAGGTTTGGTCTTACTCAATAACAAAGCAGTATCACCTGTTCTGGAGTGTCCGTGTTACCACAATGAAACGTTTTACAAGGTGAGATTGGTGGGGCAATAACCCTGGTGGCTTATTATGTAGGTATAATGGAGCAAACATTCAAGTTATCTTTTCAGTTTAATCCTTCTTAAGCATTCCTAGACAAAGACTTCACCTCAACTCTGGGTCTGTAGGAGAGTATTACACCATTATTGGTCGTCTTTAGAGCAGCCGACCACAAGCATCCTTTAATTGCTCTGACCTTGAGCAAACCGGAAAAAAACATTGGCTTATCTGTAGTATGCCTTTAATATCTTTCGCAAGGCGCTGAACGTACAGATACAGCGTCTGTGATCGTCCAGGTTTCTTCTTTCCGTGTGGTGGAACTAACAAGTCAATCCATTTTTTTTAGTAGGACTATCATTGAATCTGAAATGCTCCACTTAACACCTTGAGTGACATTAGAAATCAAGAGCCCTGGCCAGCTCTTTCTAAAAGTTTTCAATAACAAGGTGTAATTACCCAAGAGAGTGAGTTCTTGCAGTTCACTTGTTGTGAGAAATCATTCTTCTTATTACGTTGAGCTGTGCGAGCAGGCAAGATATCCCACATCCTGTGCTATAATTGGTTACCTGATTTAGCAAGATATGGCTTTCTTACCAGTTCAGGAACACCCTCTGTTTCCAGCAAGAAAATGGTGTTCTTTATGCCTTATAGTAAACTGATAGTCCTTTATTGGTCAAGCGTGTTCAGTCAAAATAGTTCTTTTTGGCATGTTTATGGACCTCGACTGAAAACGATTTTGGGTAGTATCTTGTTACCTTAACTTCACGCTTGGTCAATAATCCATATATCGTGTACTGTTATTACCTTCCAGATCGGCCAAAAGTTTGAAAATGGAACATGCAGCTCGTGTATGTGCCTCGGCGATTCTGTTATCTGCACGCAGACCTGTAATATCAAGGCATGTCAGGAGGTAAGTGCATCTTGATTGAAAACATAGGGGAAATTTTCCGCATAAAGGAAATTACAATGAATTAATTATTTAATATAAATCAAAATAAATTGTAGAGAAAAGGTGGCGAAGAGACCAAAAAGGAACTAAAAAGCTTAATTGTGATTTTGGCGTTCCATTAAAATAAACTAAGATGAATACAAATTAGTTAAAATAGCTTTCATAAGTAATAAACTAGAAAATTATTATTGGTAATTATTAATTTTCCATAGTTTCTTAACTGCGTTCTTTAATTAGTGTTTTTTTTTTACTGCAATCCTTTTCATATTTCAGGGTGAGGAGCTTCTTGACAAACCTGGAAAATGTTGCTTTTGCCGCAAGAAATCAAGTACGCACCAATTTGAATTTCTTTGGATTTATGTAATATGACTGTTCTGAGTTGTTGCTTTAATTAGTCCAGTATCGAGTTATATCCAACAGCTCTTTATCTAGGACGCAATAATTATGAATTGCATCTTTCTTTTTCTTCCTTTTATATTTAACAGCTGTGATGATTTCTACGACCACTCCTGCCATTTCCAAGGGAGGAGTGGCACCAAAGAACTTGACGACAGTTTACGCAAAGACAAATGTTCAGACAACGTCTTCCATCTTAACGTTCTGGAAAACAGTGACGCCAAAAACAACAGCGTCCACCGCGAGGCGAACAGGATCAGCCCCTGAGACAAGCACGGCATATATAAACAAAAGTTCCCAACCCACTGTCACGTCAAGGCCAAACATGTCTAAACCTACATCAATAGCGTCACCAGAACCAGCGACCGAAGTCCAGATCGAGCGATGCAATGTTCACACAGAAAATACCAGCATCGTTGACGAGTTTGGCTGCTCTAACATTCTTCCAATTACTCAGACGTCTTGCCAGGGTTCTTGCGGCTCAAGCGCAGTTGCAAATGTAACTTCACCATGGATCCAGGTCGATTGTTTCTGTTGCAAGCCCAAGAATCTTAGGGCCATGAGCGTTCCCATGAGATGCTCGGATGGTGGCGTGAAAGGGCTCAATTACCTTATTATAACCGAATGTGGCTGTGAGGCTTGTGAAAGCCATGGTTACAAGACAAAACTAAGACTTCTAGTGGGGACCATGTTTGAGAATGTCACTAAGGAAGCAGATGACGAAATTGTGCGTTAGCCATGCAGCAGACTCGAAGCTAGTAGTAGCTTCAAGGCAGCTTCGAGAAAAATATATCAATTTGCTTTTAAATAATCATCATTTTGTTCGTAATTGAGTTTGGTATGCAAGATTCAGAATTCTCTTGTAAAATAGTTTAATTTAAATTAGACATGACTAACGTGCAATTTGATCTATTTAGTTGTGACAAAATTGCTACGAATACTGGAAAAAGCTTTGCCTCTAAATTGTGCACATTTCTGATAAATCCACAGTGGTAAGTTATATAATCGCCAATTCCGATTCTAGGTTCAGTAGTGTATCTTATGAATATTCAGTGTAACTGAAAAGATTCCGGCATAGTACACGGATTGTTAGATCACCCAAATATATATTTTTTTAGTTTGGACTAATCTTTGGAACTTTTTCAAAGCCATGATGGCCGGATTTACCAGCTTTAGTGTTGTAAAGCGCCCAACTGGTTTCTGGGAGGTCATGGTTCGAGTGCCTTCTAGGAATCAAGATTTGTCTTTGTTCCACGCTCGTGACATAAAAAAAAATTAATTAAACTTATGATTAGTTACGTATTTACAAAGGGTAACTTAGTATCATTAGACCTTAAGACGCCACATTAAAATTCGATTTTCATCAGTTATCATGGTGATTGAATAAAATAAAGAAATTTTACAAACAAGTTTCCTTTTTAATATAATTTATACCATGCCGTTCAGTAAGATTATCAAATTTAAATACCAAGACAAAATACAGTTGTGACAGGAGACTGCGCTGAGTGGCGGCTTATCGGGTAATATTAAAATTGTTCGGGCGCAACCTGTTCGAAGTTCAGAGCGTGATTTTTGTCGACTTGTAAAGATTTCTGTGAGTGATTACCGTTTTATTTTAAACTTTAAATTTTCTTGTTTGTGCTGCTGTTTGGGGGTGTCTAACGGCTTTTACAGCAAAACAAGGAGAGATAAGTATGGAAAATTAAAATAAAAAATTGTCTTTTCGATTATGACAAGTCAGAGTTTTCATTGACAGGTGATCACACGTGGATTTTTAATGTGATGTGTGTAGATTTTTTTGCAGTATTCAACAAAGGAAAATCGTTGGTATGCACGCTACATTCAAGAAGTTCGAGATTAAAGCTGGGGCCTTTTAAGACTTAGATAAGTAATTACAACTTATAACATTCTGTCTGGGAAAGTTTGACTTAAATACGACAATTTGATTCCAAGGTGAGTTACTTTCACATTCTCAGTTTTCATATCTTTAATTATGCCCATTTACTACTTGTAAAGACTATAACATCTACTCAAATGCAACAAGCTCAGGTTAGATATTATCTGTCTAATGATATACGTGAAAATATTACTTGATTCTGATTGGCTGAGAGCAGTGCCGTTCAAGTGTAACACCAGTGCAAAAATTGTAACACCAGTGCAAATTACACATCATAATTCTGAATTATGATTGGCTGAAAGACAACAGGAAATTTTCTAACCCGATGATATCACGTAAAATGATGACGAAAATTTTGTGCGGAAACTTTGATAAAAGTTTTCTCGAATGAGAAAAAATGGGTTGAAGAAAGATCTTCCGGCACTTCCTCCACGCGAATTATTTCATGTTTATATTATTAATAAGTAACCATACGGTTTTTCTCGTTCAATTTGGAATTAATTAGTACTTGTGAGTCAAAAAGCTCACTCGTGCAAATTAATTCCAAATGGAACACGAAACCATATAATGACTTATACAAATTACAACTCTTTCGAGACAGCAGTTCCTCAGAATGGGCGTCACAATTCACAAATGGCTAACTGCTAAGACGGTCATTAAATGGCGTTTGAATAGCTATGCAAGTATTACCCAGCGGGTATTTGTAGACTTAAAAACTCACGTCAGACTCACAGGCGACTAGAAAAGTAGAGCAGGCTGTTATTTTGTAACGACGGTCATTCTTGACGGTCATTCGTTTAAATTGATCTCTGAAAGCATTACCCAGCGGCTATTTGAAGACTCTTAGATGCTAGAAGCTTTTAGAATTCACGGCAGACTTATCGGCGACTAGAAAAGTAGAGCAAAGTTTCATGTCGTTATCCATTTTTAAAAAGGTGACTGTCCATGAAAGCCCTATAGCTAAACAGCAAGTGAAAACGAGAGAAATCACGACAAAGGTACGGGAGACTTGATCAGTGTAGAACTAAAAAACACTTAGCGCGCTTTTTAGCATGACACAGCTGTCAATAGAGTCACTGACTGGTGTTTAAACTCATAACTATGGAAGCATTAATCAAACAGAAGGTATAGACTATAAGAAATCACTTCAGATATACAGGCGACAAGAACAGTAGAGCTAAAAACACTTCGCTTTCTTTTTAAGATGGGAAAACAGTCGAGACAGCAATGTATGCGGATGACTTATATCTGTGAGTATTAATCAAGCAGCCGTTACATTTGTTGTTAACGTGTAGAACTGAATCACATAAGCCTCGTAGAGGGCTGAAATTTAGAGCTAAGCCGCTCCGTTTTCATTTTAAAATAGCGCAAACTGTTATTTATTTACTTAGTTTTAACTCTTAACTTTGAAAGCAAACACTCAGATTAATCACGTCAGACTCACAAGGTGCTACCAGTGCTGCCTAGAACTGGTGCTGATGGAAATGTACGAAAAAAGATCCCATAATTATAATTACCTTGGTTTTTCACAGCTGCGCACAAAACTGCACGCGATGGCCTTTCATGAAAAAAAATCTTTTACCCGCAGGCGTAAAGCAGTCAGTATTTACTCGCATAATGGTGGCGTACTACTTTTTTCTTAAAGGTAAATGAAGTATAACGGGAAATATGAATAAGGGATGATCCATTGCCGGGCATTATAGTAGGCATTTGACGAAAAGCAAGGTCAAATGCAAAAATAACTCAAAAACATTTCTAAGAGCAAGGTGAATATACTTGGGCCAAGGCGACTGTCTCCACATAACAAATATTGTGTACAGCGTAAACCTGAATGGAAACAGAACTGTAGTCATATCATGCCCCACAAAACAACCTGAAACAAAAGATTTATTTAAGTAGCTGCTGTAAGAATGTATGTCATGTGGGGTTCCCAAAGCACATGTACGCTGTGCTTGCTTAGCTGCTCCATAAGCAAAATACAATTCCTCCATTTAACTGATGTGTCATTATATATTTACTCTATGTATGCATCTACGACATTCGATAAGGATGCAAATTAATCGCCACAAGCCCGTGTTCAGTATTCGCAGTTTTCTGCAGAGTAATCATGAAATTGTTGCCGGCTGCTGTGTTTCTGCTGCCATTCTTCATTGAAGTTTCAGTTTGCGAAGATAATTAAACTATGGCCTAGGTATGTATTGCATGCAGTGGATTCTGACAAACGATTCAGTAATGTAGGCAAATTTGTGTTCATCGAACCTTTTTTGGTATAGAAAGAAAGCTTATTCCACCTAGATTACCAGATGTATGGAGAATTCTAAACATTGCATGTTCATTAACACACGATCAGAGCTGGTTGAAAATTCCCTTAAACATATTAAGAGCTTATGTCTAAGAGACCGGGGCAGACTTGGAAATGGGGATTGACCGATTTTCCTGAAAATCCACACACAAAGTCCTTATGTAAACGCATGTTATATGCTCAAGTTTCAGCTTCGTTGATCGTTTTGCACTCGAGCTCTGGATATCAGCCCCTAAAAGTTTTATTTTATTTAAAATTCATATATATTTTGTTATAAGGGTCGAAAAGATTTTGGTCCAGTCGGAGCTAAAATTTTAGTGGTAATTATCAGTAATTATCTAGGGTACTTCGTAAAACGCGAAGTCATCGATCGTCGGCGAACGATAAACCGGGCCAAAATTAAAGTGTTAAAGGGTTAAGGATGTTTAGGTCTTTCCGCAAATATCCGGATATCTTTGCGATATTTAGGAGTTTCCGAGATGTTTAGAAATATTAAGATATTTAGAAAGTTAAGGGATATTTAGAAATGTCAGAAGCATATCACCTTTCTAGGTGATATGCTTCTGGAAATATTTATAGCTTTTTTTTTAGCTTAGCTATGTGTTTTCGTCCATGATTTCCTGAAACAATGCACAGTTCTATGCCGGAAATTATCTAGTTCAGTGATTTCACACTCGAAAAATATATTCCATATCAGTAAAAGCGTTAAAGCAAATGGCGGATGCTAGCGGCTGAATTTTCTTCCTTAACTCTTACTACTACAAGAAAGTCAAACTGACTCGTAATCGGTTTATTTTTGAAACAAAAATAAGAGATATTTAGAAAAAATTGTGATAATTAGACAATTTTTTAGAATTTCCGAAAAGATATTAAGGCGATTTTACGTGCTATGTGGAAAGGCCCAAGGGCGTTCTGTTGAAAGCTTTTACTGGGCTAATCTGTCAGTCCGATGGATGGAAACCATTCGAGTGCACATTATAATGACAGCTGTTCATTAATTGTACACCTGAGGTAATCACGCTCACATCAGTCGTCAAAAACACCGAGCTAAGGACTAATCAAAATCTCGAATTCTTTACGGTGTTAACTAACACTGAGTTGTAATGCGAAGGTTATGAAAGTAAGTAAGAATTAATTTTGCCAACACTGCTGAATGTACCAAATATGAGACGCTATTCGTTTTTGAAAAAACTAGAGTCATTTTTATTAAAACAAATTGCTTGTAATTATGAATAATCAGAAACTGCAATTTGCAATCGGCCTTCCGGATTTTTAAATATGATACCGTACATCAATAATGGCGCTCTATATGTCAGCTGGCTTTCGATTAACATGTGTTTCCAACGACAGACACTGAACATCGTGCTTATAACCGAAGGGGCTTATATCCGAAGGGGCTTATATCCGAAGGGGCTTATATCCGAAGGGGCTTATATCCGAAGGGGCTTATATCCGAAGGGGCATAAATCCGAAGGGGCTTATTTCCGAAGGGGCTTATATCCGAAGGGGCTTATATATCCGAAGGGGCTTATATCCGAAGGGGCTTATATATCCGAAGGGGCTTATATCCGGAGGGGCTTATATCCAAAGGGGCTTATATATCCGAAGGGGCTTATATCCGAAGGGGCTTATGTCCGAAGGGGCTTATAACCGGAATGAAAATACCGTTTCGAAACGAGCTTTAGCTACACATGTTGATCAAAATAGGTATTTCATTTACTGGTAATAAACTTTAAAACATCACAATAAAACGAATGCAAAACGAGGAAAGCTAGTGGGGTGGGAGTGGGGGGGGGGGGG